CTGTGGAGGACAGCAGGGGTTGTTTTAGTTCAGTTTAACTTTAATATCCATTCTGTCTGTCACAGAGCAGAAATTTGTCTTGGACACTGGTATCGTACATAAATACTTACATATTAAAGGGATAGTTCACCCCAAAATGAAAACTCTGTCAGTAATTACTCTCCCTCGTGTTGTTCAACCCCGTAAGACTTTCGTTCATCTTCGGGACACAAATTAAGATATTTTTGATTAAATCTGAGAGCTGTCTCACTCCTCCATAGGCTTCTAAAGGATTGAAACTGGCCGGCCCAAAATTTATGAAAGACATCGTTAAAATAGTCTGCAGCACTTCTGGGTTGTACGTCACACACACACACACACACACACATGACCAGCGTCGGCCAATCGTGAGCCTGTGTGTGACGTACAACCCAGAAGCGCTGCGCTGTTACACTACGTGAACTCACTCGAGGCCCACAGAGAAGGAAATGAAGAGTTGAATAAAGTCGTTATTTTTGTTTGTTTTTTGCGCACAAAAAGTATTCTCGTCGCTTGATAAACTTAAAGGTGAACTAAGTAACTTTTTTACCTTAACCGAACAGCTTTGGAGTCATTGTAATGTTTATATTACTCATTTTCGTGTTGAATGGTGGTCGTCTCGCACCCCCCTGGTGCCTGTGAGCCGCAAAACCACCCTTGCAACTTTGGGCCGGCGGGCTCAGTGTTAGGAAGTATCGCGTGATATCAGGTCTCGCGAGGTAACGAATTGCTTTACGGCAAAAAACAGATCTGATAAAATTCTGATAAAATGAGCATCAAACAGAAATAACCCGGCGCCGTATACATCTGGTGTTCGAGGCGCACATACAATACAGACTGCCGACAGTTAAACAGGGCGCGCGCAGCTCTTAAAGGGGCCATACCTTATTTCCACTCGTTACAGCGTCCATCCTACTGAACAGGTACCGGTGTACAGGGGGAGGGGATCCGGCCGTGAGTGCGAGCCATCTCTGCGTGAGTGCTATTCACGACAGTACAAGTGCTCCACAGCGACTCTAGGGGGCGCTGTTTGACAAAACCGGAATTCCTACTTAGTGCTGCTTTAAGGTTGAGCCACTGTAGTCACTCGGACTATTTTAACGATGTCTTTAATAACTTTTGGGCCGGCCAGTTTCGATCCCTTAAGAAGCCTATGGAGGAGTGATCCAGCTCTCAGATTTAATCAAAAATATCTTAATTTGTGTTCCGAAGATGAACGAAAGTCTTACGGGGTTGAACAACATGAGGGAGAGTAATTACTGACAGAGTTTACATTTTGGGGTAAACTAGCCCTTTAACAAACATGCATAATTCTAAGCATCCCACAATAATATTAAAGTGCTATTATGCTATTTTAAAGGCTCCTAATGTTGTTTTGGAGTCTACTACAACATGTTTACATGCATTCAAAGTCAAAAAAACACTATTTTTCTCATTATATCCACTGCAGCATCAGCTCTTTCCTCTCAGTTTCTGAAACGCTTCGATAGAGGATTCAGTCTCTCTAAGCCCCGCCTCTCTGAGAGCTGCTCTGCTGTGATTGGTCGGATTGCCCAGTCTGCTGTGATTGGCCAGAAACCAAACACTCATTATCATATCTGAATCTCAGCTCGACACACAGTGATACGAACAGTAACGATGGCGTGTGTTTTACCGTATCAATCTCATCAAAGTGGATTTGCTTTGTCAGCAGAACACAGCGTCTTCTCGACATGAACAACACGAACCAAACTCTTCCAGTCTAGTGTTTGAGGGTCAAAGGAGACGTATATTAAATGGTAAAGTATTTATACTTAATGCTAGTATTTGTTGCATTGCTTTTAATTTTTTTGTTGATGTCCATTTTAACACGCAATGAGAAACTAATGCAAATTATTATGGAAGATCCTACAAAAAAACTAAAAAGAAAAAGTAATTGTGTTTATTTGACATGTAAATAATGTCATAATCCGACAACATATAAAATCCAATAAAATGCTTAATTTGGTCATGCAAAATATAAAATTATATATATTTCCTTTTGATTTTTTGTTTTTTTTGGATGAAAATCAAAGGAAATATGAGAAATATTAAAATACCCACTACCAAGACAATGTGAAAATGTGTCTTGGAAATGTGCTTTTTTTCCTCCAATGATTACAAAAATCAGTTCAGTCAAATCTTTTTTTTATTGCCACATTATTGTGCTATAAAATCCTGTCAAGTGTTTTGAAATATTGTGTCTTGTCAAAACATAAGCAATCAATTGGTGACCTGTGACATTATCTAAACAAATCAGTGAGGAAGGGTCAAACTCAAGCAACTATCAGATGTTGTGTAAGGTGATTATGTTAATCTACTACACCTGTAATTCAACTCAAATGAAGCTTTGCTTTCAAACTTTAACAGCAGTCAACACAACATGTCATTAAACCACACAAAACTTCACAAAACCAGCACCAAGACCTCCAACTAGTGTTCACAAAATGTTCCTTTTCTTTATGCAAATTATAATTTCATATATTTTTAATAGATTATGTGCTGAAATATGACCCAGACATGTTCTTGTGTGATTTCTTATGATTCACCCACACTATAAAAAAAAGATGAAAAATAAAACAAAAATTACTGTAGCACGTTTTACAAGAAAATATATTTCCGTTTTTCTACTTCAAAATCACACGTTTATGTGTTATTTGCGGTTTCTTCGTAATTATTTGTGAAATTTACTGGCAATTTCTGAGAAAATGTTTTCAAAGTAAATCCTACACAGGCTTATTATTATAACTGAAACCAAAACTATTAAACTAAAAACATTTTTAAAAAGTGCTACTTCAAATGAAATAAATTTGAACTGAAATACCTAATTTTATTTCAGCTAGTTTCCAATTTTCATTTAGTTTAACTTGATTTACTAAACATAAAAATGACACAAAAAAAACACAATTACTAAAACTTTAACTAAAATTAAAATGAAACCAGAAATTTTTTTTTTTTTTTTTACTAATACAAAAATAATAATAAAAACTATAAAAGATACCAAAATAACACCTTTTTTTCCCAATGCTTTGTTATGGCTATATCTCGCAATTCTGACTTTACAACTTGCAATCTCAAGCTTTTCTGTAGCTCAAACAGTAGAGCGTTGGCGCTTGCAACACCAAGGTCATGGGTTTGATTCCCAGGGAAAGCAAGACCTGATAAGAATGTAAATACCTTGAAATGCAATGCAAGTCGCTTTGGATAAAAGCGTCTGCCAAATGCATAAATGTAAATGTTTATATCTCGCAATTCTGACTTTATAACTTGCAATTTCGAGTTTCACAATTCTGACTTTTTATACATTGCAATTTCAAGTTTATATCTCACAATTCTGACTTTATACCTTGTAATTACGAGTTTATATCTCGCGATTTTGACTTTATACCTTGTAATTATGAGTTTATATCTCGCAATTCTGACTTTATACCTTGTAATTACGAGTTTATATCTCGCAATTCTGACTTTATACCTTGTAATTACGGGTTTATATCTCGCAATTCTGACTTTATACCTTGTAATTACGGGTTTATATCTCGCAATTCTGACTTTATACCTTGTAATTACGAGTTTATATCTCGCAATTCTGACTTCTTACCTTGTAATTACGAGTTTATATCTCGCAATTCTGACTTTATACCTTGTAATTACGAGTTTATATCTCGCAATTCTGACTTTATACCTTGTAATTACGAGTTTATATCTCGCAATTCTGACTTTATACCTTGTAATTACGAGTTTATATCGCAATTCTGACTTTATTCCTTGTAATTACGAGTTTATATCGCAATTCTGACTTTATACCTTGTAATAATCACGAGTTTATATCTCGCAATTCTGACTTTTTACCTTGTAATTACGAGTTTATATTGCAATTCTGACTTTTTACCTTGTAATTACGAGTTTATATTGCAATTCTGACTTTATACCTTGTAATAATCACGAGTTTATATCTCGCAATTCTGACTTTTTACCTTGTAATTACGAGTTTATATTGCAATTCTGACTTTTTACCTTGTAATTACGAGTTTATATTGCAATTCTGACTTCTTACCTTGTAATTACGAGTTTATATTGCAATTCTGACTTTTTACCTTGTAATTACGAGTTTATATCTCGCAATTCTGACTTTATACCTTGTAATTACGAGTTTATATCTCGCAATTCTGACTTTTTACCTTGTAATTACGAGTTTATATCTCGCAATTCTGACTTCATACCTTGTAATTACGAGTTTATATCTCGCAATTCTGACTTTACAACTTGCAATCTCAAGCTTTTCTGTAGCTCAAACAGTAGAGCGTTGGCGCTTGCAACACCAAGGTCATGGGTTTGATTCCCAGGGAAAGCAAGACCTGATAAGAATGTAAATACCTTGAAATGCAATGCAAGTCGCTTTGGATAAAAGCGTCTGCCAAATGCATAAATGTAAATGTTTATATCTCGCAATTCTGACTTTATAACTTGCAATTTCGAGTTTCACAATTCTGACTTTTTATACATTGCAATTTCAAGTTTATATCTCACAATTCTGACTTTATACCTTGTAATTACGAGTTTATATCTCGCGATTTTGACTTTATACCTTGTAATTATGAGTTTATATCTCGCAATTCTGACTTTATACCTTGTAATTACGAGTTTATATCTCGCAATTCTGACTTTATACCTTGTAATTACGGGTTTATATCTCGCAATTCTGACTTTATACCTTGTAATTACGGGTTTATATCTCGCAATTCTGACTTTATACCTTGTAATTACGAGTTTATATCTCGCAATTCTGACTTCTTACCTTGTAATTACGAGTTTATATCTCGCAATTCTGACTTTATACCTTGTAATTACGAGTTTATATCTCGCAATTCTGACTTTATACCTTGTAATTACGAGTTTATATCTCGCAATTCTGACTTTATACCTTGTAATTACGAGTTTATATCGCAATTCTGACTTTATTCCTT